ATTGAAAATGTAGCATTGAAAATGTAGCATTGAAAATGTAGCATTGAAAATGTAGCATTGAAAATGTAGCATTGAAAATGTAGCATTGAAAATGTAGCATTGAAAATGTAGCATTGAAAATGTAGCATTGAAAATGTAGCATTGAAAATGTAGCATTGAAAATGTAGCATTGAAAATGTAGCATTGAAAATGTAGCATTGAAAATGTAGCATTGAAAATGTAGCATTGAAAATGTAGCATTGAAAATGTAGCATTGAAAATGTAGCATTGAAAATGTAGCATTGAAAATGTAGCATTGAAAATGTAGCATTGAAAATGTAGCATTGAAAATGTAGCATTGAAAATGTAGCAGACGTTCAGATGTATTATTTTCATTCTGAAATTAGAATAAAAGTTGTCAGATAATGTTTAAACCCAAAACATCGGCAATCTTCTTTTAATGAGAGCAGCAGTCGTTATATGTCTGGTTTAGATATGAGTATTATATTATTTATCTCACTTTAACGAGAATGATTTTAATTAAAAATCTTGAACAAAAACTACTGACGTTTGCCGATAATGATTTATCCAAAAAAGAAATATTAATCCGTGATGAACACCTCTACAATATCGTTGTTGAACGCATTCAGCAACAAATTAAGAAATTACTTATCAATAGTACTAATGATGCCGACAATTCTTTTGCCGACAGTCTTTTCTCATCGCAAATGTTCCAACAGTGGACTGAAATGTTTTTCTATGAAAAAGATTTACTGATGTTTCTGTTTTGTTTGTTCCCAAATTTAGTGACAAACTTTTTCTGTTGAAATAAACCATAATAAGAAGAGTTCTAATAGAAAATAAAGGTACTAGAGCAATTCTCAAATGAAGAAAATAAAATAACAACAGATCTTTTGCAAATCAGTTAAAATAAGTATTTCACAGCATAAAATAACAAATAATTTCATGTATAAATATGTGTACGAAAATTAGTTTTTAACAGCAGCTCGATATTCGGAAGAAATAATACTGAACTGGTTCATACTGAAGATGGTTTAATAAAAAACAGACTGATTTTAAGTTACTTTCTCGGTAAACTATTGAAATTATCTGTTATTTTATGCTGTGAAATACTTATTTTAACTGTTTTGCAAAAGATCTGTTGTTATTTTATTTTCTTTATTTGGGAATTGGTTTGCTTTTTTGTGCTCCAGTACCTTTATTTTCTATTAGAAGTTTTAACTATGTTTCAATGAAGCTGTATATTTTGCTTTATTCAGTATTTTCATTATCTCTTAAATGCACGTGTAAGTAGCTTGCAGTTTCTATATTGCATTGTCAACTGGCACGTAGCACAATTGCTTGTTGTCTGTAAAAGACTGCATGGGTGATGTCTTTATTTTTCAAAGAACTTATGTAGTTGTATTCAAGCGGTAGTTTCTTTGAGAAGATTATCTGGGATGATTTTAGGACAATGTTTTTCTTTTCTTTGCTGGGATTAGTGAGTCCAAATTTATCTCGATCAGCTTCGCAATAACGAACAAGAAACGGAAACCATTTTTCGTGTAATTTTATTTTAATTATTTTTAGTAGATAATAACAGTTCAAGAAAGGGATAAGGGCTAAATAGCCACGAAGTATTCTTGTTTCGTCGACAACTCACTCTCACACCGCCCCTCCCGCCTCTGATGTTCTCTGATCTATATTCTTTGAAGTGGCCGCTTTGTCAACGAAACGAGAATACCCCATAGCCGCATATCCCTGCTTTACGAAAAACATAAACAACCCTACGAAAAAAAGCACGAAAAACACGAATAGCGTAGAAAATGTTTAAACAAAAGTGAACAACTCCTATCAATAAATAAATCTCTATTAAACTAAAAAAGGTTTGATAGTAAATGGTTAGCGGACTAAAATATACTATCCCCATAATGGTCTTCTATTTTGTCCCGCAAGTCGAGTTCTAAAGAGTGGTCTTCTATTGAGGTAAAATTTTGTCGACTGCTAGTAGTGCAACGGTAACCCCCACGTACTTGAAGTTTACCCTCTATCAGAAGTATGTTTTGGCCAAATGTTTTTGAAAATTCCTCTATAGGGCGTTTTTCGATTTTTTTGGCGGACCTGATAGTAGACCAGTGTGTAGTTACAATAGACTCAGAGATCTCAAGTGATTCAGAGAACACACGCATTTACCAACACATTCAGGTGCTGGAAGTAACAAAGCGGTCTTCAAAAGACGGACAAAAGGAATCAGTATTGTACCTTTTTTTTAGAGACTTGCTGTAATTGGAATGTTTTTATGAGATTCAACCAAGGGCGAAAAAGTATTTTCTTTATCATAGCACCTTGAATTCACATTTTCGTCATACTCTCAGTCGGAACATCAGTCAGCGCTATTGAAAGATATTTTTTCATTAGATTTAATCTAAGTGGTAATTCTTCACCGTGTGCAGACCAGAAAGTGACACATCATAATTAGTTTTATCTGTTATAGGACATGAGAGTTTCATGCTCTATATCCTGATCGGGATATATTCCGTTTTAAATCAAAATATATCCTGATTGGACTATAATATTCCGATCGGGATACATTTTTATATCCAAGTTGGAATATATAGCTCGATCGGGATATGCTTTCTCACTGTAGGATACAGCAGGCCTATCCGAATTCAGTCGGTTTTAGCACCAAAAGTTAGTGAGAAGTAATAGAATTCAGTTGTTCTACAGTGTGGTTACACGTGACAAGACTCTCCGTCATCGGTAGTTCCTCTTGGTACTTTTTGAGTTCTCACACAAAATACATTTTGATGACGATGCTCATGTTAATTCGAAATACCGTACAACAGTCAGCATCATTTGTTTTTTTAGTCAACTGTTTGTTTAACTTGAGATCGATTGAGTGCAGGTACATTGATCATCCATGTACTCCTTTTTCATTTCGTTGAAAGAAGAAAAAAGCAAGTACATTTTAAATAAATAGGCTACAGTATCGTGTTTCATTCTTCGATTTTAGATTCTGTTCTGTTTTACTGCACACGTTTCAAGAAGGAGAAAATCATGGTTTGCTTTCGCTATAGAGAAGACGAAATGTGTGTTTGATAGAGAATCAGATTGAAAGACTACGATACAGAAAAGTAAAACACATTATAGCAGAAAATACATTATAGGCTAAAAACTGTAGTCAACAATATGAACTTTCACTTGTCTCAAGGCTTCTAGATGAGTTTCATTCCACCACCGTGACGGAAATCTTCCAAAAAGTCACGATGAGAACGCATGGAAGTGAGTATTATCCATAATATGTAGTATACAGCTACAGTATATACGGGGAGAAAAATGTATTGTACGTAACTTATTTGAAATTGTCTTCTTTCGCTTTTTTTCGTCTGAAACTTGAAAAGGTTTTGTAGCAAACAATACAAAAACATTTTTTGAGATTTTGGATCCAAAGTGATCCTGTATAAAGAGTAGTACAAAAACCCGATTCTCAGCTGATCTACCAGGCAGAAAAAAAGGGACGCTTTCTTTGAGAATTATGCTGCTATATTTAAAGTGCCAATAACGTTTTTTGAGTTTATAGGCAAGATTAAAAATAAAAATTTAAGAACTATTGCGGCTATCACGTTAAGAATTTTAATAAAAGTTTTAATAAAAATAATAAAAAATTAAAAAGATTAAAACTAAGATTTAAAAGTACAATTCAATATTTCGACCTATTAATACGGTCATTTTCAAGTTTCTCCTTGTATAATATTCTGTACAAAGAGAAACTTGAAAATGACCGTATTAATAGGTCGAAATATTGAATTGTACTTTTAAATCTTAGTTTTAATCTTTTTAATTTTTTATTATTTTTATTAAAACTTTTATTAAAATTCTTAACGTGATAGCCGCAATGGTTCTTAAATTTTTATTTTTAGAATGCCAAATTTTCGAGATTTTACCTTTGAAGTCTCTACCACTCATACTATATTGACAAGTTCCGAACACTCCTGAGTGGTAGATCTAGCGTTATCAACAATAAGAACGATTTTTTAGACCCCGAGATGCTTTCGTTTTTGACAGGTACCCGATCAGTAACAAAACGCCAACGTACGCTCATACTTCTAATTGATACAAGCTCTCTCTGTCCATGACTCCAGAGTAATAATATTCGTCCATTATTTAGATTTATCTTCAATTCGTTCATCGTTAATTCATCTTCCAAATGAACTATTTCCATTTATTTTCGTCTATTTCCATCCATTTGAACTTATTGACACATTCGGTCATTTGGATACTCGTCTCGATTGTCTCATTCAACAGTCTATTACACAGCTCGATTATATCCGTCATTCTGGTATTAGCGCTATTGGTAAAAAAAATGAATCGTTTTTTCAATTTGTGACTAAACTGAAACTCACTTATCCACAACTGCAAAACTTATCAAAGCCTCTTACTGATCTGTTTCCAAAACTTCAATCGGTACTATTAACCCAGATTATGCTAGATGATGGCGTACAAGAAAAAAAATTCTTGACAAAGTATGTTGACTCATTAAAAATAATACTGGAATCGTTCAGCATGGAATTCGATGACATGATAACGCATGAATTCACACAACATTTATTTGATGAACAATCTCGATTAAAACAAATGGTACTAACATTTACCAGACAAGGTAAATAAAATTGAGTTTCTCATAATCTGATCCAGTCAGTTTAGCACAAAAGAAGTATCACACTAATGAGTTTAACAACTGATTCGTGTACAGTTCATAGCGAATGTCACGTGATATAATCTATCAAACGTCAACGTAATATCTTCATCTAGGTTGTATGATAAATACCGTACCTATTGATAACGATTATGGTCTATTACCGTGTCCATCACTGACCCATTTGACGATTGATCTTACATTTGATTTTGAAATTTTCATTCTATGTGAATATCTACCGTGTATCGAATATCTGAATATTCGTTTGCAACATGGTCATCATCTCACTCACGAATATGATTACAACACAATAAAACAGAAACAATTGTCACGTGTTCTGAAACATCTTCGAATTAAATTACGTGACTATCATCTAGTACCATTTCGTGTACTACTGTTGTTAATTGAACAGTATGTACATTCTCTCCAGTATCTATCATTGAATACGTGCCTAGATTCACCCGTCGATGGCCACCAGTTGAATCTGCTAATGAAATTGAAATCGGTTCATTTCTGTTTTCGTTTCTCGGTACCTGAGACGTTTGATTATGCTCAATTGATGTCCACGTTCAATATTTCGACTGTCATGTGTTTTCCGAATCAGAATGGTGATTGTGTTCTGTTAACCTTACCGTATGAATTTGATGAGCTTCCGGACATTTCAAATCGGATGCTTCAGTATTGCCTACCACCTAATGCTGATCCTATGACCATGATTAAAATGCCTGCAGTAACACGAATTTCATTCACTTGTGATAACGATGATAGCCTAAAACTAGAACTATTTTTATTCGTTCAAAATGCATGTATTAATTTAAAAGAATTGACAATTTCGCCATACCAATTAAGTACACAAATAATCGCCGATCGACAAGTTCAGCTGATCAAAGTAACAAAAATGAATATTCTTTCCAAGACAATAGAGTATTCATCACTGAAACGTTTACTTTTATTGGTACCAAATATAAAAGAATTATACATAGAAACTTTATTACCAACAAGTGTGTATTATGAGGAATTGTTGAATGATCAGGAATTGGCATTGGTACGAAAAATGTTAAATACTGTCAAGACAGTTTTTGCATGTGGAAATAATGCTGACGACGATGAAGAGGAAGCGAAGGTAATCGAAAAATTGAATGAACAATTGAAAATGACATTTCCAAATGCACAATGCACTACTACATCTGATAGTGGATTTGAAGTAGATAACGAAGAATACTAGAGTGATGAGGAAATGGATAAAGAAGTGTTAGCGATGAAAACGAAGTTGCGTATCTATAAAGAATACATGTTCACAAGAGTAACAATTCTAATAGACTTCACTCTGTTCTTTTTTTTCTTCCACCTTATATAATGGAAAAGGAGAGACAAAAATGAGACAAAAATCGTAGTTTTAATGCTTATCAACACATATTAATACTACATGAATATACTTAGCTGATAACGAAAATATCATTTTCCTCAGCTTTTCAATCAACATGTGCTTTGTAGCTGTCTGCATCCAGAAGGGTATGAGTTAAGCACGTTAGAGCACGATTAAACAACCACCTTGAATGCGAAAGATTCACATAGTTTAATAACAATATTTTATATTGGTTTTATTTTTTATTTTTTTCATTTTAATAAAATGCACCCTCAGAACAAATTTTTCATCTAGATATTGTATAATTCATTCCTCCTTGCGAATGAAGGTTCAGTACATACATGAGAATTTGAAATCGTAAGAGTAGAAAATTTTACGCCTCTCCTTCACCGCACAATCGAGCCTTGCTAGTGCATACTATGCACATTACATAGTGCATATCAGTAAATAAAGATTATATCTCATAGCTCCCGAATCTTCGTTTCTAGTATCATAATTACCTTCTTCAACTTCAAAATTCAAGATGATAGAGAGATGGAATCCGCATTACAGTGACTTTTTTCGATTTTTTCTTGTCTTCTACATATGTTCTACATCAATATTTAGCAGTTAAACATACGAAACAGGATATTTCGTCTTACGAGGTAAGTACCCCAACTGATAAATCGCTTTTTCAGCGAAACAGAGTGGACTATAGGTAGTCGACGATGCTGATTCCGAATATCACCATGAATGCTGCTGCTAGGCCTTCAAAGACCGGTCTTCTGGAAAACCAATTTTCGTGAAACTCTAAAGAACAACCAAAAGCTTTCTTAATGAGGCGTAATTGTAGTCCATAAATTTCTGATTAAAACGAGGCATCTTCCAGCTCTACACGACCTTTCTT